TGGCATTTTTAACACAGAAACCATACATGACCCAGGGTTACCATGCATAATAGCATTTTAACACAGAAACCATACATGACCCAGGGTTACCAGGCATAATGGCATTTTAACAGAGAAACCATACATGACCCAGGGTTACCAGGCATAATGGCATTTTAACATAAAAACCATACATAACCCAGGGTTACCATGCATAATGGCATTTTAACATAGAAACCATACGTGTCTCAAGGTTACCATGCATAATGGCATTTTAACACAGAAACCATACATGACCCAGGGTTACCATGCATAATGGCATTTTAACAGAGAAACCATACATGACCCAGGGTTACCAGGCATAATGGCATTTTAACATAAAAACCATACATAACCCAGGGTTACCAGGCATAATAGCATTTTAACATAGAAACCATACATGACCAAGCATTACCCAAAATGAATAAACAAAATAATAAACCCCAAACTTACCATCATGTAGACTGAATGCCAAACTTGTAACTTTTTCTGTCATTACCATCATGGGACTAAAAAAGAAAAAAGTAAAATAGTTTAGTCTAAAGACATTATTCATAGATTTAATGGGCAGCATGGTTCTCCTCAGGGAGTAAAATATGCCCCATATTTTAACATTGTGTGAATACAGGGCTGTAGAATTGCGTTAACCACCCACTTTAACTATGTTTGCATTTATTTACATCACCCACTGTAAAAGTGTTGCTGGCATTTCACTAACAATGGAAATATTGAACTTAGAATGTATTTCTAGTATATCCAAACATTAACCTAACAACAGTGCTCCAAATAAGATAAGTATGCATTTTTAATTAGGTCACATGATCATATATGGTTATTACATACGTCTTCTGGTTGAACACTATACTGTAAAATCATGTATTTTCGCTGACATTTAATTTCACCATTTGATGTTTGAGCCTATTCACTGAGTTTCAAATTCTTGAATTTGGCAGAGGAACAATGAGTTCTACTGTTATTTTATAACTTCACATAGATTTAATTTAGCAAATTTTACTTATCAGCAAAAGAAGCATAATCAAACCCCAGTGAATAAATAATGTCTTCATAGTGTTCCAGATGACATTAATGCATTTTTAATGAGGTAGCAAACCCATATATGGTCAATAAATATATTGATTAGATCTAGTGTGCAATGTCTTCAATAATGCACTGGTTGAACGTCTATTTGCAATAGTGCTCCAGATATGATATTTATGCATTTTTAATGAGGTCACATGAGCATATATTATTGCTAGATATGTTAATTAGATCTAGTGTGCAATGCCTTCAATTAAACATTTTGTGAATGTATTTATCTGCAATAGTGCTTTGTATGGACAGACAGACATTGGTAATCAATATATACCCCCTGGAGCTAATAAAAAAGTTGATTCAACCACACTTGCCAATTGCTAATAACAATAATGGATGCTAAAATGTACTTCTACTCAATAATCTTGCTTATTCTAACATCATATTAATTGTTTGAAATACAATCATGTCATCCCTTGTTTTCAAAAACAAGAGGATTACAATTGTTGGTGTTGTTGACCCTATGCCTTGAGGTAGAAGCCGAGTCATAATTTTTGACAAAATTGGTCATAAATCACATGACAATGTTCATTAGTTTATTATGAAATAGCATTATTTTGTGTGTTACTGTTAGGCTTTTTGAGGAATGTTTCTAATATTTCCTGAAAATTGCTATTTTTAGAACAATTCCATAGAACACAATGTTAAAGAAAAATTGCATTTGTTGACACTTTTTAAAACCCAGATTTTTTAAATAATTCAGAACAACAAAAAGTACTCCATCATTAACAATATATGATTTTTTCAGTCTATGTCACCAGGCTAGATTTTGAGATATTGCATAATATCTCTGCTATAGAAACCTGTGGTAAAAGTGTTATTATAGTGTCAAAATGGCGACTTTCCACTAAAATACAACAATCAATTTCTTGAAAAAAAGGATGGTGACCCATAACTTTTTTTAGGTCAATATCCTTATATTGCCTTGAAGTACAATTTATTGCAAAATGAATAAATTCTGTTTTTTTTTAATTTAAGAGTAGGCTTCTACCTCAATACACATTCTAATTATGGTGTGAAACCTATAAAATAAAAATACACGTGCAAACTCACCCAATGTGGTCCATGAGGTATATGTTAATGTTCTGATATTGCTGACTAATGTGTACCGCAGACATGTAAGCAATGGAAAATGTGAAAACAAACTTGTGTATAACTTGAGGGTTCATCGTGCGCATCATAATATAGGGAATCGTGGACTGGGCAAAAAGATGAAATGACGACCTGAAAAAAGAAAGAATGACATAGAACTTTATCTTCCAGGCTTTTGCTCACCCTTCACCAATGACAAATTACACAGTTATGGCTAAGGATATTTTAATGTGTTATTCAGAGATAATACTCATCATTTCAAAACGTGTCACCTAAAAAAACTGCAATTATTTTATTTTTTGCAACAGCTCAGACTTTTTTATTTTGTTTAAATTGTATAGTTATATATTTTTATTTCAAATCAACAGACCTGTTAATACAGATCTTGTAGATAGATGACATAGGGAAATGAAGTCAATGGAAATCTATTTGGCAGTATGTACATGTACTCTAGTTCATATGCCGAGTGAAGTCTGCTATGGAAATTGAACATACAGATCACTGTGCAACACTTATGAAGTACTGCAGGTCCCAAAAAATAAGGTTAACTATCATCTATGGTAGTAAAAATCAAATATCAAACTGCGATGTAATGCGATGTGATGGCATAAAACATGTACTTACCACGAGTATGAAAACACGGCCATATAAATGCCGATTGTCGCTGCCACCACATGTCTGACAGTAGGGCTGACTCGGTGTGGATGAAGAATTTGACGATAACCAATGGCTAAAAATAATCCCGTTACTTGAAAAAAAGCATAGTTCACCTGCCAAAAAAAAAAAAATGCACATTACGATAAACATAGCATTGACATGACAGTCTTCGATATGGAATAGTTACTAAAACTGAAATGATTATCTGAGTATAAGAATACGAAAATTCATTAATTTCCTCCATGGTTATGTACTTGAAAAACAGACGTCATTCATGAACAACAACAGTGCTGGTTGGCAGAAACGCAATTAAATTATGCCAAAGTGAGCCAGCTAAAAGTAAAACAATTATATGCTGAAACAGTTCTCCTGACATTTCATTGATTGAAATTTGAGAAGAAACCATGAACAAAATGTTTGCAAATGAAACGTCTAGCCCAAAACATCCATTCACTAAACATTTGTAAAATTTGCTAATTCATGTACTAAGTTTCAAATTCAGCAATTAATTTCCCAAAGACTAATCAGGTGTGTGCATTCACTTTTGAGCATCAGTGTTCAAAGTTTCATTGAAATCAGATGAATGGTTCTTGAGATATCAGTGGAACACACATACATTAAGGCCTGATAAAACAAATTCATTTAGAGAGGACAGCGGAGTTGAAGCAAATGAGCTAAACATGTTTTTTTATATAAAAATAAATTATGGTCATTCTACTAATTATGTATTTTTGAATTGTAAGTAGTGTAAAATACTTCATTTTCGCTTGGAATAAATTTTCGCTATTTTCGCTGAAGGAATGATTCAGTAACAATAAAATCCACACAAAACACCCAAAAAGTTTTTTCAGTGAAAATTAAGCTACAATAAAGTATTTCACAGTACTTCAGTTAATTGTATTGAGGATATATATTCTGACCTACAAACTTAGATGTCATTTTTCACATCTGTGCTTGAAGCATGATCCAGTATCTAGTACTTTTATAGATCGTTCGCATTAATAGCAAATTTTTTTTTATTTGGACTAAAGCCGTCTCAACACACAATCAAAGGGTCACTGCAAAGATTTTCATTTTGTACTTCAACACCCATGAGTAAAAAATTAACCATTCCCTATTTATCCCACTTAAAGCGTAACAATGATTACATACAACAATGGGTATTTTGTAAAAGGTAATATGCATAACATGTTAGAAGCATTCTGAGATTAGTTGGTTGCCATGGCGAAATGCAACGACCCATTGTTCAATAGGCATCCCGGGTCACTAAACAGACTCAAGCATGAAAAAATAATGCAAGAAGGATTTGAAGCCGCTTCAGAAAATTCTGCGTTATGAAATTAGGATTAAAAAAATGACGTAGACACTTTCCAGAAAAAATAATCATGTTATAAATAACTCAACCTTGAGGGATGTTGTATCAGATGCAAACTAGTTTCAGATAGATTCTAGGACATTGTGTCAGTGACCTATTTAAGTGATGTAACACGTAACAGAGTAGGAATGGTTGCCATGGGAAAATTCAACTATTACGTGATATGAATGTTGAAGTATATGAAAAACACAAATTTAACAGCCAATTTTTATCGACAATGCCATCAAAATTTTGAGTA